AAGGGAAATAATTTATTTTCTATGTCTCTTGCATTTGAAAACTTTAACTGCCAGTAGGTAACTATTATGAGCCAAAGGTGAATTTCATGAAGCACAGTTAGTTCCAGCTCAGATAAGCAGGGAGTCTGGCTGTTTGTCAAGAACTAGGGAACTGTCACCGAGGTTAACTGCTCCTCGAGATCTTCCCTGTCATTTAGTAGCAAGGCTTCCTCTAAAACAATGTTCCCAAGTACTCTGCCTAGCAGCTGCTTGCTCCCTGTCCCTTCAAGGGATGAGATTAGCATTTAGAGGTGAAAGACCAATTGTAAAAGTGAGCTCAACAGGGAAGGCTACCTTACTGTAACCAATCCCAGGGAAATAAGCAAGGGTAATGGAGACGACAGGAGACATCTGTCTAAATTCCCCTGACTCCCCGCCACCCAAAAGATATTTTCTTCCAACTTGCATGGTCCTACTGCCTTGGCATACTTGTATACAGGCTTTCACTTGAAATAAGGCAACACGCCATCGAGTCACAGCTCCCATATCACATGTCCTTAATTTAATTCCCTTTCGTCTGTGAACCTGGTAAGAGCCATTAAGAATGTAAAAAAAGACTAATATGCTGCTGTATCAGCACTTGTACTAACTGTATCTGGTAGACCTTAAAGTACTTTAGCTTATCAAAAAGCTAAAAGATGACAGGTTAGGTCTGCATATTATATTATTCATAAGCATAAAGTAATTGAATTGCAGCTTTCAACATGCATTATAAAATAGCTCAAAGAAATACACCTACAGCTGCCTGCAGAACGAAATGTTAGACTTCAAGATTAGTTAGAAAGAAAGAAAACCTGCATGAGAAGATGAATGATATAGCATACATACACGAATACCTCACTTGTTTTAATGTCTGCCCAGGTTAAGCTTGCTTTCTTAATGAAAAGTACCCTCCATCACTCGGAGAACAGTTCACATTAAAATACAACCAATATAAAATAAAATCAGCACACTTTGTAAACAATTTGAAAATAAAGATTCAATTGATAAATTATAACCAAATTACAGCCACTATATCAAAACAGAAAAAAAATATAATTATTTATAACTTGGAGTAACTATGGATACTCAGATTAAATGCTATTTTTTACAAAGCTATTTAGAAAGAATTCATATGATAGATTATAATGGAAATTGGCATTTTAGTACTCTCAGACCGACATCTTAAAAGAAACATGTTTTGGTAGTAAATATAATTAAATGAGCTCAAGGAAAATTGATGAGATGTAATGGAAAAAATGGAACAATACAGGGAAGCAAAGTAATTTCCCTCCACTACAGACTAAAAAGTGGCATAAACAACATGCATATCATGAAAAGAAACACAGGGGCAGTTTAAATTTGCACTGGTTACACTGGCTTCTCCCAGCGGAAGCCATGATACAGCCCCATGGTGGCTGCAAATCTACCTTGTATGAGCTCACACTGGAACAAGCTGTCTGCCACTTCTGTTTCACAAGAAGCCTGGAGCACATTGCAATGTATCTGAGAAATGTGACGATTCAGTGCATCATCCAGAAAAAGACTCTGCTAACATTAAACCTATGGAGTCCCCGACAGAGTTTAAAGGTGCTCTCTTTAAGGGTGGGAAGAATGACAGTACCACAACTTGTCTTCCTCTAGGTTTGAAGTCTTTATTTTGCCTAATCTATATAGCTATATTTATATAGGGGAGGGGAGTTTGTACGCAGCAGTGATTGCCAACACCTAGTGGCACGCAACATGCCCCTCCTCCCTGCTTCTCCTCCTCCTCTGCCAGCTACTGTCAGGGTCAGACAGCAGTGGTGGCAGCAGGGGGAGGGCACAGCAGTGGCAGAGTGGGTTGCTGCCACCAGAACCCACCCCCATTTTCCCCTTCCTACTCCTATCCCTTTCTTCCTTCTTCCCTACCACCTCTCCCTCCCTGCCAGCTGTTGCTGGGGGCAGTGGGGAAGGCGCAGCAGCTCCTTTGCTCCCTCTGTCCATAATGCTCTGGGCCCTCACAGCCAAATCAGCATGTCCCCCACTCTTGGCAGTGCATGCGCAGTTAGCTCGAAGCATTACAGACAAACGCTGTCTGTCATGCTCTTTAAATGCGACTAGCTTGAAAACTGTAAGAGATAGAACATTTGTGTCTTCAGATAAATGTCTTTGTTGAACCTTAGCATTTGTTTTGTGACCAAGACAGGATGATCCCAACTTCCAGAATTGGGGGGAAAAAAAAAGTCAGGGGCCAGGGCTGTTTCTAGTGAGCTCTTCCCAAGAGGGTGCCAGGAGCCTGGTGCAGTGGGGAAGACAAAGGGTGGGACCAGCTGAGGGACAACAGGAGCCGGGCAGAGGCATGAGGCAGTGGGCGAGCAGCAGCGGCCCCATCCAAAGCCCCAAGCAGGGAAGGAGGCACCTGGGGGCAGCGCGGAGGAAGCCCCGGGGTGTGGGCAGCTGTTGCGAGGCACAGAGCTCATCTGTCCTTGCCCAGAAAAGAGGCACGCAGCCGGCGGCTGGGTGGCAGCATGTGCAGATGTGCCTCCAGCCCACTGGACGAGAATAAGTGCAGGAAGGGAGTGGCATCTTCAAATGTTCAGCCTAGTTGTATTTAAGTTTTATAAATATTTAATTTAATAAATACAAAAATTAAAATCTGGTTTTTTTTGTTATTTGAAATTCATCTGTCATTCTTGACTGGCAATTTGCAAATAATCATGATAGTAGTAGTAGTAACAACAACATAGTTCCCTAAAGAGCCAGGAATCCAAGGCCAGAGAGAAAGCAATTTTAGGTATGTTTTTAGAAGGGCAGAAAAATAAGATATCAGTAAATTATATTATAAATAATTTGCAACAGAGACTGTAACAATGAATGATACTAAATTCATTTGCAAATACACTAGTGTCTCACTGGGTTAGGCCTAAATTAACTTAACTTACATAAGAGTTTTTCCTTAGAAACTTTTTTTGCACAGTAACATACTAACTATATAATATATTCCAATAGATGAGCTGTGTCTGGCCACCTAGTGCAATTCATTTAAGGGTGAAATACTACAGAGTAAGAAATAAAAATGTTTGCTGTTTTGCCACCAAAAGACACTTACGAAATTTCTTTCTAATGTCTACAAACAAGACAGGAGGAGTTTCTGCAATTCATTTTGTGAACTGATAGAATATCAGACCCATATATAGGAAATGTGCAGTTCTCTTTGAAAAAGTGAAAATACAGTTTGCACAAATAAGATCCTTAATGACCTATTTGCTTACATGGTCATTCATCTCCTCTGCCAGTACTGAATGTTCTAGGGAACTTCAAACTGGAGTAGAATCATAGGCAAAAAGACAGGCTAAATTCAGATTTACACTAAGGCCTTTTCACACTGCTCTAGCATGTTACACCTACTTTTAAGTTTCTTTTTAGTCCTAGCTCAATGCAAAGAGACTTTTTGGTAACAGAAGTGCATCTTTAATTGCTACTTTCATCACTGTGGCGTGGCTGCAAAAAATAAAGCTATTTCAAAAAATAGATTTTACTTCCAGATTTGCTGAAGTCATTCTTAAAACAGTAAGCAGAACACAGCATGAAGTTGTAAATTGAGACTAGAAACTAAATCCCACCTGTGAAGGTGTACTTGTTAGCTCCATCTTTTCTTGGGATTTCTCCTTTGCTAATCGTGCAGCTTCTTTGAATTCCTGAAATTTCTCTGCAAACTGAAGATACACAAGTTAAAAAAAGGAAAAGATATGAAGTAATTACAATTCACCTATAAAATAGAATTGTTCCATAGAACATATTGGAATATACGGTATCATTTTGCATTCAGTTAGTGGGATTTTTTTCCTTACTAGGTGATCATTTAAATTACTTGCACTGTATTAATAGTAAATGATTGTGAATATGCAAAAAAATACATTTGTATGTGGACAACACACACAAACCCTAGAACCAAGAGTAACAATTCCATTCAAACTATATTAAAATCCTGATCTACCAACAACATAACATAGATTAACATAACCAGCATCAAATCAAACATGGATATTAAAGAACACTAGGTGGCTTTAATAAGTTTCTTTGAAATTTGTAATCTATTTTCCTCCTTATTAATCTTGGGCCTAGTTTAAAATCCACCAGAGTAAAAATAAATAAATAAATAAATAAATAAATAAATTCCATAATCTTTAGAGGTTTTGCATTTGGGAAAATACTGATTTCTTCCAATATTTTGACTATAACTGAAATTCCAACTTAATTATTATGGAAGTGTTTTAAAAGAAAACCACCACAAGTTACATACTTTATAATCAAGCTGAGCCAAATTAATCTCTGATTTACTTCCACTGACTTCAGTAAATTAACCAAGGAATGAACTGGTTTCATCAATATAAAATGATTAGTTCAAATTAATTTTAAGGATTACTTTTTTATATTTGGTTTCCAGAATTTTCAAACAAACATTGGTATTTCTTGGCACAGTCACCCCTTTTTTTCTTCCAAAAACAGCTAAAGCAGCTAGACTAGAAATTCAAAAATGCATATTTTCTTAAACGAATGACTGAAATAAGTTTTTGAGCAATTCTACTTAAGTAAATGGAATTACATTAATGTATTAAATCTGGCCTGATGTGCCTGATTAAGTTTTACAGCACACTGATTACTGTGGCATCCAAGTGTCTGGTTTTGTTTACCGCTGTTTATTGGTATTATGATCGTGTTCCTGAGAGCAACTGGTTTTGCATGAACATTTGATGGAAAAAAGTTGGCAGAAAACTTTTAACCTACTACAGTATATTAAGCATCCTTTTGCACTGAGTGCTATCACATGGATCTGAAGGAAAATGAAAGCTGCTATTGTATCACACAGACTCCTCATGCATTTTCCAAGAAAAGATGACCAGCTAGGTTTTCTTAATGTTAGATAATCTTTAAATCTCTTCTACACAGAATTTGGAAGAATGCCCTATTTTCTCATCAAAATCCTACTGCATCGCCTCAAGTAATGCCAGGGGATGCGTCTCCCTGGAACTGTATGGCAGCATCCAGAGTGACGTGAGGGAGGGAGTCAGGTGAGTTTTCAGAATTAGGTCTCTGCCAAAACACACAGATATTCCTAATAGAAATATGATAGCAACAAGGATTTCTGAGAAGAAAATTAAACCAATTAAATCTACATTACTCAAATCTTCCAGATATTAGACTATTTTGGAGTAATTTTTCAAAAATAGCATAAATTTAATAAACAAGCAACAAACCCCCCAAATAAATCAGGACTTTTAACATTTGGAGAGCTTATTTTTTCTCACTTCGTCCACTGTTAATTTGATGGAAATACAAAAATCAACTTCTTCAAGAAGTTGAATTCCACAATGAGGAGCCTGGATGTGAAACAAAAAGATACTCTGAGGTCAGCCATCTCCTGGTTGACAGCTCCTTGACAGATGGAACGGTGTGTGTCAAGTTTCTTGAAGAGGGTCAGCAGCATCCCACTGAGGTGCCTCACTGCCTTGAAATGTTATAGCAATTTCAGAATCCCTCAGTGTGCAACACTAAATACATACTTTTGCACTAAATGAACTCAACCTTACCAGGACTACGATTTTCTGTAAATGACAAAACAAGCAATCCTATCAAAGAACCTGTTTATTCTGTAAAACAGCTGCACTTTGCTTTTGAGAAGGCAAAAGAACAGGCCAAGTGTTTACATAATTCATACTTGAAAGATCAGGTTTCTTATTCATTCCATTTCCTTGTGCTTGTCACCTGAAGATTATAGGCTACATCCAGAATATGAGATCTCCCTGACTGTACATACACAGTCGTCATTTACACTTGTGCAGACAATGCAAACTGAGGGTAGTCAGATATGGTAGCACCTTACACACATTTTACTCTAGACCTAAAGACAACACACAATGCAAAGCAGTGAAGTAGGTCAAGAAAAGTTGAAGCTGAACATTCAAACTACCCCTTTAGAAGTCAAGTCATTCTTGGCTCCTTTAAACAGTATAACAGGGAGCAACTACAGCAGCTGGAGTCCAGGCAGCTAAACAGAGGCCAGCTGTGAGAAGGAAGGCAGCAAAGAGACACTGCTGCCTAGGCAGTAAGTGGCCCATCAAGGTAAAGGGTACACCTGCAGCCAGTCTGAGGAAGTCCTGAGTGGAAATGATCAGAACTTATGGAGCATAAGTCCAGGTCTGAGCCTAGGCAGTCAGTTTGCCCGAGAAGCTGCTGAGGAAAGAGCTCTGGGGCAGGAGGGTTGCAGAGAAGCTGATGGCTAACACCTTGACTGCCCTGGCTGTAACATGGGTAGAAGCAGCTGACTTGCAAGGAATACAAAATGTGGTAGGGGGAAGCCCAGTGGTACAGCCAGCAACCTGGGGTTATGCTTGAACCCTGTGCAGGGCTAGTTTGTGTTATAGCTAGTGAGTGGGTTTATGTTTTGTGACAGTTTATAATGGAAGTCTGGGTTCAGACTATAAAAAGGGGTGACAGTCTCCTGCCTCAGGGCACTGCTGAATGAGACAGAATCAGGGAGCCCAGTGACCGGAGCAGGGCAGACAGGGGACAAGGCCATCAAGCCCAGGGCCCAGAGAAGGATGGAGATTGGGCCAGTGAGCCCAGAATCAAAGCAGGAGAGATGTGCCTGGAACAGGGTGGAAGCAAGGGCGGGTCCAACACAGTGGGGCTAGGCTAGAAGGCCAGGTGAGAGAAAAGGGGTGAAGGCTGAGAAGGCCAAGACCCCTATAAGGAAGGCTGATTGGGCAGTAACATTTGCAAGGCCTAGGCACGGATGGAGGGGAGGTTGGAGGCTATGAAATTAGCTTTTAAGGAGATTAGTGTGCTAGAGCACAGCCTGTTAGAGGGTGAGGGCTTGCTCTGGGACCCCTAGGGCAATGTCCCTTTTCCAAGTTAAATATTTATATCAATGTGTGGCAGGTGGGAAAAAGGAGAAGTAGCTTCCCCAGACAGCCAAAGGGAAGCAGGAGCTGTGTGGCCACCAGGGGGAGTCACAATCACCCCTGGGGCCCAGCACTTGCTACAACACCTAACAAACCAGATAGAGTCCTTTCTACCCCCTAAAGCAGTGGTCCTCAATCAGGGTGTCATGGCACCCTGGGATTCCTTGAGAGCCTTTGAAGGGTGCTGGGGAGGCCACACAATGTTAGCACTATTACATGTGCAAACATGACTCGCACAATAAAGCCAGAGATTTTAAATAGAAATTCTTAGTGTAAAAACATTTTAACCCATTTTGGTCTTCCCGGGTTCTTTATAACAGAAAAAATTGTCTATTATTTTTCTGTAGCCAAAAAAACAAGTGAAAATTAAGACATGGCATTTTCTGAGGGGTTCCTCAAGTCTATCTGGGGGTACCTCAAGGTTAAAATGGTGGAGAACTAAAACATGGCCTTATATCCTTGTTAAGAAACGGGTTCCCTCAACAGCCTTTTGGGAATATTAGATAAAGCTCCAGTCCTCCTACCCCAACATCACCAGGAATTCAGTCAAAGTCTTTGTTCAGCCAAAGAAAGCCTTTATTTAGCCAAAGCCAAAGTCTTTGTTCAGTCAGATTTCTTTTTTGCAATCTTTCACCTTAACTGGTAATATATGCTTGCTTCTCTATAAACAATTTTTGAGGGGCAATCACAGTGCAATTCACAGGATTCAGGAGAATTCTCGAATAGAGGAGCAAATATTGCATAGAGATTCTTCTTTTCACCCTCACATCTTAAGATGATGATAGAGTTTTTTGTCATTTTAAGGCTGCATATTTGTACATCCTGATGGTGCCTAGTTAAAGATTCTAGATGTCTTTTCAAGACCCTTAGCATTTCAGTATTTGCATTTAGGTAGGTGATTATCTTTGAAGTCATGATTGCAACACTACTGTTTTGAGAAAGAAGATATCTGTGTGATGCACTGCCCAATAATCAGTTTGGGAAGACAGTCAAACCAGATGAAAAGAAACCAGTCCATATAAATGGTAACTGTAATCTAAATTTTGGTATCTACCATCAACTTTGAGAAGATCTGACATCTGCAAAAGGAAAGGGCAACAGCTCAACAGATAATGAGGTGAGAAGACTGCTCATCATGAAAGAGATGCTTGTTTTAGTGTTGCCTTGGCCTGCCCAGTTCTGCTCACCTAGGTCTTCATTCTGTTGAGTCTTAGTCATTAACGTAGTTAGTAATCAGAGACAGAGAGACTTTTTGCTACATTTGCATGGCAGTTAGTACACTGGAACTCTAAATACTTGATTAATCAAGTGCACATATGGAATCCTGAAGCAGAAGTTATAGCTAATGTATAGGAATAATTTGTTTCTGATGTTGCAGAAACAAGTGTTAATTCAATTATTAATTTCCAAAATCTCTCAAGCTGTGGATAGGAACTAAAGCTCCTTTGTGCTAGGCACCATACAAAATGCATAGAGGCTCTGCCTCCTCCAAAGAAGTTTATGAACTAGAGTAGAAGGTAAATAGAAATGGAGATGAACTGAATGGCTCATGACTCAAAGCCATACAAGTAAAGAGTTAGGTAAATGGGATTAGGCATTCATGGTCCCCTTGCCTCCTGCGCAGCATGCTAAGGTGTTGGTTTTGGAGGTGTTTTTAAATCTTGTTTCTGGCTGTAGTGTGCAAGATGGGTCAGAGCAGAAGTTTTTTGGGGAACCTTTTGAATAAAATTACTGCATTTGAATGCAGAGGCAGCTGGGGGTGGGGACGG